GATTTGGAAGTAGATCATTCTTTTTCTTTCTTTCTTCTTTTCCTTTTTTTGGCCTAAATTTATAGAAGGAACCCAGATGACAGCTAAGTTATTTCAAAATAAGATTAGAAACATGAAGAACACAATTCTGTTTATGAGTTCAGTGCTTCATGATGTAGCTTTTCAGAGGTGATATCTCATTAACTGTTGTTTTACCATTAGGAGTCTACAAGGATTGCACAAATCTTGAAATATAATTTAAAATGGTTTTTGGAAGAGTGTTATAGTTGAAGATTTTGGTTAAAAAATGGCTCACTTATCAAGGCTGTAATTGAGTCAGCAGCATTTTAAGCAATGAAATGCCGTTCTGGGGGTGGTTCTTACATTTTTTGCTTATTTTGGGGAAGTCTGATGATGCATTACTCAAAGGACAACTTGATTTTTTAATAGCTCCCTAAAGAATTAAGATCACAGGATTTAGAAGTGTAAAAGACCTAGGAAATCATCAGTAGTAAAGGAAAAAGTGCCTTGTAACACTTAGTTCTATAACAATCAAGTTCAACATATTGACGGCATTAGCAGGTTAATTTGGAAGTCAACTGTTCATATTAAGAAAGTTGGTACATTTCCAGTGCACATCAACAGTTTTTAAGATAAAGAACATTTTATTATTAGTACTACTAAGATGTTGCAGAGAAGAGTTTTAATACAGTAATGGAATTTTGGGAAGAAATAGAATTTCAGTTTTTGTAGATTTCATCAAACAAATAAAAGTCAAATCAGTGTGTAATGCTTACTTTGGTGCATGGCACTGTGCTGGGAGCTAGGATACAGACATAAAGAATGATATAATCTCTGCTGTCCAGGAACTTAAATTCCACTGGGCAGGAGGGGAATATGACATTTACATAGATAAGTGTGTTGTGATAGGGGCAGATGGAGAAAACACTTTTGAAGTGAAGGGATCAGGAAAAGCTTTATGATGGAAGTGTCAGTAGAGTTGAGCCTTTGAAAGAAGGGAGGAGGATTCTGCAAGGCATAGATGAGCAGGAGTCTATTCCAAGGATGGAGGATGCTGAGAAAGAGTGTTGAATTTGAGCAACATTCAGTAATCCATTTTGCTTAAAGCAGGTGAAGGGGAGGAATTAGACATAAAAAGTAGGTCAAATCAGATAAAAGGGAACCGGAATGGAGGGACTGGAGGTAGGGAAAGATCAATTTGATTTTGAACTTATTGTCTTTGAGGTCCCAGAGGAATAGCCAGCTAGAGATCTTAACAGGCAGCTGGAAATGTAAGGGCTAGAACTCAAGAGGGATTAGAGTGGAATATATAGATTTGGGAGCTATCTGCCAAAGTATAATAACTGAACCCAAAGATATGAGCAAGATTGCCAAGGGAGAGATTATAGAGAGAGGACAAAGAGAGTCTGAGGGATACTTTCACTTACGGGACCAGATGATGATGGTGAATCATCACTAATGGTCCAGGAAGACCTTTCAGGTAGAAGGAGTACCATGGGAGATCAGGGTCACGTAAACTAAGAAACAAAAGAATATTCAGAAGAAGGGAGTATTGTAGTTACAATGCATGCTGCAGAAAGATCAGGGTGGATGAGGAGTAAGAAAAGCCCTATTTAGTTAAGTCATTGTGGAGAATTTAGGATGAGGAAGTGAGTGGGGGAAGAGGAAAGCCAGAGCATCATGATCAGAGTGGTGGATCTGAGTTCAAGATCTTTGTGGTAGAGAATTTTTGAGTGATAATAATGTGTAATTTTGGTATCTGAGTGCATGTGGAGGGCATGCAAGTTAAGAAGGACGTTGAACTCAGAAACCAAGGTATTAGATAGGCCATTAATGTGAATATTGAAGTTACTGAAGGTAAATGCAGGGTTTGAGTGGAGAGGAAGACTGTGAACTAAGCTCATTTAGGAAGAAGGGAGAGTGAGGTGGAGATTGGTAGATGACTGCCCTAGTGATAGAGACATGTATCTGTAGGTGATCAGATAGGTGATCCACCAGTCTGGTGGTGTTAACATTGGAGGATAGATTTTTGAGTAACTATACCAGAGAGGATGGAAGTGACAGTGTTTTAGGAGTATGCCTCTATTTCTTCATGGCCTTGTATGTGGAATGGGGTGGCAAAGGATGGACTTCTTTTTTTTTTTTCAGGAGAAAATCAAATTTCACCAAGTACCAGAATTTGAAAGAAATATGAGAGGAAGAAATCTAAGATTAAAGGAATTTTGTGAATCAAAGTGCATGTTCAGTAGGGTATCATGGAAGGGGAGACTGGGCACTAAGGATGGATTGGGTGGAAGTTAGGAATTTTAAAGGGTCTTCACCTAGGTAAGTAGCCATTCTGAAACACAGGAATTAGAAGAGCAGAAGGTTGAGACTTGTTAGCCATGAGATCAGAATACCAACTAGGGAGAAGCCTGTTAGATGAAATGGATCCCAAGGTTCTAACTAGAATATTGATGTGAAAGGGCTTTTCGAGTTAGCTGTCCGGGTAGCTCCTTTTGTTGATTGTAGAGAGGGAGGATCCAAGCCCATTTATAGTAAAAATTATGTAGTATCTCTTTAGCTGTTGGAACATCAAGCACGAAAGGACATTTCTACTCCACAAATGGTACCTACCTACTCTATACCCTTAAGATAAATGAGTGCTGAAGATACAACAAAGGAAAAAGCCCTCCAGTTTTTGCCATTGGATCACAGATCAAGAGCTCAGTGTCACTTCAGAGGCCAATTGTAGAATGCCTTGTTTTACAGGAACTTGTAAACCTGGGATTAGAGGACCATGCACTTAGAATTAGAATGGAAGGCAACTATCTATCCTGTTCATTTTATAGAGAGGAACTTAGAGCCAAAGAGGTTGTGTCTTTACCATAATTTTCCTCCTCCTCCTCCTCCTCCTCCGCCCCTCCTCCTCCTCTCCCTCCTCCTCCTCCCCATTCTTCTCACCTCTCCCCCTTCTTCTTCCTCCTCTCCTTCCTCCTTCTCTTCTTCCTCTTCCTCCTCCTCTTGTTCTTCGCCCTCTTCCTTTATCTCCTTTTCCTAACTAACATTTATGTAGTGCCTGTTATGAGTTAGATGCTGTGCTAAGTGCTTTACAAGTTCTCATTTCATTCCCGTAACAACAGAGAGGTAGGGGCTCTTATCGCCATTTTACCTCTGAAGAAGCTGAGGCAAACAGAAGTTAAATGACTTGTTCATACAGGTAAATGTGGCAAAATCCACATTTGAACCCAGGTCCTCTGAGTGCGGGTCTTTTTTTTTTTAATTACACAACACTGTCTTCTATGTATTTATCTCATTTAAATTTTATATCTGACCGGCTGAAGACTGTAAAAAAATACAGAGACATATATGAAATAATACAAGTCAAAAAATAAAAACTAGAAATAATGTACACACATTGACTATAACTCTGTAAGGGTTTTGTTTTGTTTTGGTGGGTTTGTCTCCCAATCAGTTCCTGTAGTTTTGATAATAAGAGGCCGTCTCAGAAGAGTCCAATAGGCCAATGCTACAGAAAACAGTGGATCTTTATCATTGCATATTTTAAGCCTAAAATGAGACACTGGGGGTGGGAGTGTCCTGGCAAGGTGGGGGTCATGTGTAGCACACTATAACCAGGGAATTTGCCAGAGTTTTGGGTCTGTTGTCTTCAGGCCACAGCAGGAGGAGGTAGGAGGGTGACTGTGGCCTACCAGAGAGATGGTTTTCAAACTTGGCACACCTAGCTTCACCAGTGCTCTGTCACTCACAGTCAACATGTCACATTTTTTCAGATGACATCCTGTCTATAAAACTCTTCTCAGTAGTTTGTTGAACTTATTTTACAGATTCTTAAATAGTTTTGACATCTGTTATCTGTGTTGCTAAATTAAATGGTTAAGTACTTGTAGCTTTTATAGTTGATGGTAATAGAAACCAGAGTGAATTCATTATTCTGATTAGCCATAAGATAGACAAATCCCTATAATGACCTTGATGAGGTCTATCGGTCTTATTAATTAAGTTCTCTGTTTTCTTGCTTCCAACATGATAGGTGCACAATAAATATTGGATTGATTTTAATTTGATGTTTCAGAATTTCATTTCAGTGCATGTTTTTGTTCCATGATAATTTTGAAGGACTTGACCATTTTGTTAATGTTTGGTACAATACTACGACATGTAGAGACACATTTTAAATTCAGTTTTTGATTCAGGTTGTTATTTTGAAATAAAATAATCTCCACAGAAAGTTTTAACCTAAAATAAAGATGGAATTTTCCTCCCATTCTAGTTCATGGCCCCTCCCCAGAAATCTATATCTATGAGTCCCTAAGGGTGTGTGAACTCCATGTTAAGAACCCCTCCTGTAATGAAATCTTGGACCTTTTTTCCTCATCTGTAAAATTAGGATGTTGGATTAGATCATTTTTACCATGATTTTAACTTTTTAGCTCAGTCAGCTAGGTAGCATTGTGGATAGAGTGTTAGATTTGGAGTCAGGAAGACCTGAATTCAAATGTGGCCTCTGACCTTTTCTAGCTGTGTGAGCCATTGCAATTCACTTAACTCTGTCTGTCTCAGTTTCCCCATATGTAAAATGAGAATAATAATAGCATCTATCCTCCATGGTTATTGTGAGAATCAAATGAGATGATATTTATAAGGTGCTTTTCAAACCTTAAAGTACTATATAAATGTAAGCTAATAATAATTATAATAAAAATGGTGATGATAAAATCCTATGATATTATGACAAATAAATTGTCTTGGCTAATGTCACATAGCTATTAAAGTGGCAGAACCAGGCAGAACCAGCTTAATGCCTTTCTCAAATTACGCATTTTAAGAGGTAAACTTTTTTTTTCTTTCAGTATCTTGGGGCTATTTGGCCTTAAACCAAACTGCATATCAGATATTCTGTGCCCTTCCTTGATTGAGCTCTTTTGAATGAACTGTTGAATATGTTTTTGTATTTACTTGACGTTTCTAACATTGAGAAACACTTGATGTATTTTCAGTCGGAGGGAAGAGCCCATGCCAGTGCTGGGGATGCCATCTATGAAGTAGTGACGTTACAGAGGGCATCTGAGAAGGAAGAGCCAGTCACTCCAACCAGTGCTGGAGGTCCGATGTCGTCTCAGGAGGATGAGCCAGAAGAAGGTAAGAACAGAAAGATTCTATTAGAGCAGCACGTGCAGGGAGTGGAGGTTGATCTGTCATCTTTTTTTCTTCTGAGCCGTCATAGGCTGGGATCCACTGCATGTCATCGGAGGCAGGGATAAATCATTTCACTTCTCAGTCACTCAGTACTTCAGGTTAGACTTGGCAGGTGTTTGAATATTTGGTGGTGTCATTTGGCTGTTTTTGCTGCTTGTTACATTTCATTGAAAAAGTAATGAAAGTGGCAGATAAAGTTCAGTTTGAATAATTCTCTGAAGTGTTTTTAGAAGTGACATATGCATGTCTTCGCATTTGCTATTATCTAAGTTTGATTTTCCTTGGTACTGATATCAAAATCTTCACACTAGCATCATTGGCTACTCGCTTTTTATCGTCTCGATATCTGTCTCGTGCAAGAAACGAATCACACTTCAATCTTGGAGAAATAACCCACATAGTCTTCCTCTTTGCACAACCTTTGGTATGGTACCCTATACTCTTTGAAGTATACTGGATTACAGTAATAACCTTGAATCATTTTATTTTTTTAGATCAGGATTAAAAATAGTTTCTTCATTTTAAAATTTCCTTTCCTGACCTTCTGTATGGTCTTGATTGGACATAACATTTTAGGATTCTCATGACATTTTTCTTTGTGAAATTGCTGCCTTCTTTAGCTTTTTTTTAACTAAATGACCAGAAACTGAGTAAATCTTTATGCCAACTACAAATTCCTTATAGAATAAGCATTTAGTAATTCAGTGAGTGGCACTAAAGTCTGTGCTCCTTCTTTTTGAGTCATTTATGTTTTCTATCTTGAACCTTGGTGCTATGGAACATTTGAATTTGAATGAAAAGCAAGGCAATGAAGAATCCCACTATGATTATTTTATGTTGTTTGTGTAGAAAACACTTAACAGATACGTGTTATGTGTGTGTATAAAATATGCACACAAATACATGCAAATATATGCATATTAAATAATAGAAGAGTCAGTCAGTAAACATTTATTAAGTATTTATTATGTACCAGACATGTTATTAAGCATTGGAGATACAAAGAAAGACAAAAAATAATCTTTGCTCTCAAGGAGTTCACAGTTTATGTCTTCAATGCCTTGTTTGATGCCTTTGTCATATTATCTAATCTTTGCTCATTGTCTTTTTTCTCCTCACACCCTCTCCTTTCCTTCTCTCTCGTGTCCACTTCTTTCTATGCCCTTCTTTTTACTCCCCTTTCCTTCTATTTCTCTCTCTGGTCATTAATAGAAAATAGCTATTGCAATTTTCAACGTGTTTATTAGAAAATATGAATATTAACCTCTTGGCATGATTCTGAGTAATATTAAAAAACAATTCAAGATTATGAACTAGAGTATTTTAAAAGTAAAAAGAAACTAGCAATTTTAGCCCAATGGAAGTTTTAGTACTCTAATTAAAAATAATTCAAAATATTTCCTCCGGCATTTCCCCCCTATATTTCTTGACTGTGGAAATTACACCTTAAAATTCTTTTGCCTACTGATTATTCATGGCCAGATTATTTAATTTACAGATTGTCTATGTCTTTGGTTGCTTAGTCCTTATATTACTTGACTTTTGTTCATTTCAGTACTTGTTAACTCTCCTAGGAGTAAAGAAGAAAGGAAACTCAATTGTCTTTTATTTCTTTCAACTAGCAAAAGATTTGGTGGGGAGGTAACCAATCTGTCTTTCACTCCTTTGCTTTTCTGGAACTATGCATTTTATTAGGATGATATAAATAATCATCACTGAAAGTACCCGTAGGTTATGTTATAAACATATTTGAGCCACAAGGAATTTCCTTTCAGATTTATGGATAGAGGAGGAGTTCATGACTGCCTGAAGGATAGAGAAGATCAAGGAAGATAAAATGGGCAGTTTTGATTACATAAAATTAAAAAATGTTTGCACAGATAAACTCAATGCAACTAAAATTAGAAGGGTAACAGTTGATTGGGGGAAAAAATCTGCATCACAGGTTACTGTGATAAGTCTCATTTCCAAGATCAGTGTTTAATTCCTAAAGATGAACAGAAATGATGATGATGATGATAATTACAGACATTTATTTAGTACTTTAAGGTTTTTAGTGTGCTTTATATGTGTTTTCTCATTTGACCCTCCCAGTAACCCTGTAGCTTAGGGTTTATTATTATCATCCTCATTTTATTGTAACAGTTCAGTGGTTGGATAGAGTACAGGCCTGGAGTCAGGAAGACTCACCTT